TGCTTTCGCTCTTGTTAGGTTTCTAATGACTTAATGGTTCAAATCTCTACTCTACATGCGGTAAGCAAGCTCGTAAAAACTTCATAAAATTCAATGAATGATTAATCATTCCATGGGTGGATATAAGAACATGTGATGTACTTGATCGGTTGATGCGATCTATTTGATCTATTTCTGAAATTCAATGAATGATTAATCATTCCATGGGTGGATATAAGAACATGTGATGTACTTGATCGGTTGATGCGATCTATTTGATCTATTTCACCAGTTGATTTAAAACGATCGATCTGTTTCTCCTGTTAATTTAAAACGACCTTTCAATACAAAGGTTTGGAAAATGATCCCTAGTATCCTTTGTTCATCCTTCGATTCTTGAAAGGGGCACAATGAAATAATAAAAATTTACTTTTAGAGCCATTTGATAGATATTGTTCTACTATCTTACTTTAAAAAAAATTCTTGGATTGAATAGAAAGTAATTTTCAGAGCAATATCTTGTTCTACCATCTTAAATGATGAAATTAAAGTTATTAAAAAAAATTATTGGACCGAATAGAATAATTAACATAGAGATCAATCGGTTAAAAAACCAAAAGAGGGTTAAAAAACCAAAAGAGGGTTAAAAAACCAAAAGAGGATCTACAAATTTCATTTCCCCTTATTTTGCACTAATCCTTTCAGTTAAAAAAATATTTAAATAATTATTAAAATACAAATTTAACTTAATATATTATTTTATCCTTAATTTATACATTTACATTTATCATTTTAGAATGGTGAAATCAAATACTTGTCTTCATTTATTTATTTATTTGAAGTTTGGAGGACCCACTTCTAATTATTAAAATTCATTTAAACATAATAATTAAATTGAAAAAAAGAGAGGGTATCGCTGTGGTTAAGAAAAAGGCAGGGGGTATTTTGGTAAAAGCAATTTCTCTTGATATTACGTTGATGAACCCGAAGAAAATGAATTTCAAAACTCGAGCCCAACGACTCTCACCGTCCAATTTCTTTTCATTCTTTACTCTCCTGCTTTTCCTTTCCGGTTTGGTAACTTACGGAGGCCTCTCGTTTCTCTCAAAATCCTTCCTTATTACTCTAGATTTCGTCTTCTCAAATCATGTTTGAGCCCCAACATTTCGTCGATTTGCAAGATAACAATGCTTTCGCCGATAATAAATCATGGCTTTCCGGCGACCACAACTCGTCCCCGACTCCGCTCCTCAGTCTCTCTTCACTCTCCAATGCATCGATTTCAACTTCGGCAACTACTGCTGATGGCGCTAATGGAAATGTTGATCGCGAACTCTACAACAATCTCGTCGAGATGGTGCCTCTCGTCCAGTCTCTCATTGTAATCCCTCTATTTTGAACTCTCTTTCACTGTTTAGATGCAGGGGAATGATGGGGTTTGTCTGAATTTTGTTATGGTGGCACTACATGGGGCTGCGGGGTAGTTTCCCGAGTCTCGTGATCGACGGAAATTCGATTTTTGAAATCGTACTATTTTTAGGTTTGTATAAATTCTACTCACGGGGTGCGAAAGGCTGGAGTTGTTTATTTTCAGAAATGGGAACCGGGGGATTGTTAGTAAAGAAATTAATTCACCCACTCCATATTTCTGTGTTTGGGGAAGGCGTCGTCATGGTTGAAAACGTAATTCGGTCGTGTTGTTTTGTGATTTCTTGTCAATTTCGAAGTTCTTCGTTCCGTCTCTCTCTCTCTCTTTTATTTTTATTTATTTATTTATGTTTGTTGATTATGGGTTTTTGTTTTGGTTTAGGATCGGAAAGCGAGCAGTTCATTCTCGAAGCGGGGTTCCATGATTTACACGAAGACGCCTTCTAGAGAATCATTGCACAGGAAAGTTAGTATTTTTTACTCTTACGTGATTTGGTCTTCTTCTATACACTTATTCTCTGATTTTAGGAATTCAAGGGGTAGGAGTTTACTGAATTATCTGTGTCATATTCTGTTAATTTAACCGCAGAGCTCCATGACTTCCCAATTTCTTCTCATTTTGTTGCTAAGCCTATTGTCATTTTGTTTTCCTTATTCGATGAGTTTTAAACTCCTTTTGTGTGTATTTTGAAAATTGAACAGAAAGGTAGGAATATTGGCCATTCTGTTCCGACCAAGAATAAAAAAGATCATGGCGACAAGGACCAAGGTCGCGACGTTGATAATAATCCAGATGCTGATGCCTTTGCAGTGTTGTCCTCAAGTTCTTTGGCCTCTGAAAGAGACAACGAAGAGCTAACCACATTGAGAGAACAATTGGAGGATCTGCAAAAGAAATTGCTTGAAAAGGATGAACTTCTAAAATCAGCAGAGATGTCAAATGACCAGATGAACAGTGTTTATGCAAAGCTTGATGCTTTGAATCTCCAGTCTGCAGAGAAGGATTCTATGATGAAGTCTATTCATTCCCAACTTTCAGATGCAAAGGTTCCTATAAAATTGCATTTTATTTTAGATGGGTTTGTTTTGTTGAGGTCAAATATAGGTATCATGAGTAAGCAAGTTGATTGACGAATCCCTTTTGCAGTTTTCTGTTTGTAAATATTCTGGTTATGTTTCGAAGATGGATGGCTAACAACTGTTTAAATCATTACACTATGTAGATTAAGCTTGCTGATAAGCAAGCTGCCTTGGAGAAGATGCAATGGGAGGTAATGACATCGAATTCAAAAATAGAAGAACTTCAAGAAGAGCTAATGTCCTCGCAAGGAGACGTTTCATCGTTTATGCTGTTACTTGAGGGCTTGATGGAGAATGATTGCAATGAAGGCATGGAAGATTATAGTCTTTCGTTGCATCTCCCGGAGAGCTGCCCTTATATTGTAAGCACATTATGATATGCTTTTCTATATGAGTTTGTAACAGTCTGTTTTATGATATTACAGTACAAGTTGTGACACAATCAGCCGTACGTTTTATTTATTGGAAAAATTATCATGCTCATACTGTTTCTTTTAAACTCTTCAGTGTTTGCTCCTCATTGTTGCCCTTGAACAACGAAAGCTATTTCTTTTGTCCTGCAGGATGATATGGACGACCTGGAAATGCAGAAAATGGAAGAAGCAAGCCAAGCATATGTAGCTGCTGTTGCTGCTGCAAAGGCAAGGCAAGATGAAGAATCTATTGCTGCTGCTGCAACTGCAAGATCATGTCTTCAGTCATTCGTTTTCAGGACTTAAGTTTCAGACGTTTATTGGAATGATCAAATCAATCGCGCTCGCTGCATTCAGCATTCAAATGGTATCAATTGGCATTTCAGCATTCATATGGTATCAACTGGCATTTCAACATTCATATGGTATTCTTCATGGGGGGTTACTCAAGTTATTTATTTGTAATCATTTGTGGAATATGAAAAAGGGAACATTTGTTTCATTTTGTATGTATGATGTATCTAACCTTCCCCATATCTGTGTTTAATGGTAATGCACTAGGGCGACAACTCCCATGTTCTTCAATCTTTTAGCATCTCTCTCATTTTTTTGAGGAAGTTTAAATGATATGATTAATGAATGGATTGGGATGGTATATTCTGACTAACAGGATTTGTAAAGTCCCCAGTTATGTTTACTCATATTTCAGAATGTTGAAAATAATATATCAGAATGTTGAAAATAAAAGAAAACTTGATAGATTGACCAAAAACGGAAGTGATATTGAATTCCACGCCCCTTTAAGGGTCGTTGAGCACAGAAATTGGTAGATGAAAGTTGGGATTGACAACGATACATGTATAAATGAAATCCTAATTTGAGTTTGTGTTTCAGAATTTACAACACTGGAATCCTACACACCGTGCCTTGTGCTTTCTAAGCTGCAAGCCTTCTGATTTTGGCATTTGCACAGGACTTCCACTCCACTCCAATCCTAGCCTGCATTACATCTCACATAGAATTAGCATTCATGTATCATCTTAATAACATTTTCCCATCTCTTTCTTTTATATCATTAGGGGGTGCTTACACAGGAAAGGCGAAGGAGCCATTGCTGACATCTGAATGGTTAGAGTCGCTTGATTCAGTCGGCACTGCCACGATCGGATCGCCATTGATCACCTCTTTGTGATTTCCCATTCTGTTCTTACCCATACCTGATTCTTTATCCATGTAAGTATCCTCCAGTTTTTCTCCCTCCTCATCCTACAACTTAACACAGAATATTATGAATCTGTATTGATTTCTGAAGTGCGCATGAATGGTAATGATTCGTACCTTTTGAGGTGATATAATGTGATCTCCATCTTTTGTGGAGTAAGTATCAGGTGCACCTCCATTTATCTTCTTTTCATTATTGCATCTCTTGACTGCTTTATCATGTTCACCATAATTAAGCTGTTGAGAGAGACAGAGAGTGATTTCTTTATCATTCATATAGAATCAATCATATGATAGACAATAAAACATGAGGTTGTATTTTAAACCTTCCGACTAACTGGTCTTGAAGTTGCTGAAACCAAATCAATGTAATTGGAAGCATCTGAATTCCGATTCTTTATAACATCAAATGCTCCATCTTCTCTGAAACAGAAGACAATGTAGTCTTCATCTTCACATTGTGCCCAACTCGAATCATCAGTCATCTTGTTTTTGACAGCAACAACAGCAGCAGAATCTTCAGAATGCTCCATCTTCCCCTTTCTTTGCCTCGACATCTTCTTGCTATTACTTTTAGCTATTGAGGCAATACTCTTTCTGTCAAAAACCATGGCTCTTATTGGCATTGTGGTTGGGGTTGAAGTGAAATATCAGTCTGGTTCCTTATCTGTAGATGAAGAAACTTGACTGTTAACATAACAAACCAAAAGGAAGTCGGTCAAAGACAGCTAAAAGTCATTGTGTTTTAAATGCTAGTATGTTCTATTACTTTTGGTTCTAGCTAAAGGAAATCTGGAAGCTAAAAAGCATGAAGCCCAATCTCTGACTCGCCATCTCACCAGCCGTGTCACTGTCCATGGAGTGGACATTTCTGTGTCTTTTTCTATTGTCCAATGTTTTCTCCTTTTCGCTCTTCTATTGTAAACCAGTTTTTCTGAGAGAGAAAGAAACTAATCTTTGAATTTGAAAGAGACACCATTACTAGGGGAAGTTACTAATAATGAGGGAGGAGTGAGTCAGTTATGTTCCTAAACATGGAGAACTTCGTCAGTTAAATATGTTGTTAAATGAACAACATTTTCAAAAGTAATTCCTTTCGTTTTTATGAAAGAAATGGTTGTGAGTGGCATGTGATCTAGCAATAGTAGACGTAGAGAAAACACAAAATCATCCAAACATCAGAGAAGAAGAAGACCATTGAAATGCTAATTGAGGTACAGAACAATATATATGTCAGAAATGTAAAAATACCAACCACTAATTCAATTCCATTTCTGATACCTTGTTGGTTGTTGTAGGGCGGAGATGGACGACATGATCCCTTTGAAACTCGACTTTGTATGGTGCTATTCGACAGAGGAAGCTTCAAAAGAACAATGCAGGCAGGTTTGGATTGACATTATATACTTGATTTGTTCAGGCTTAGTTGTTTTATTTGATGGATGATTGATGACAATAATGAAAATTAAAGACGTAACTGCAATGCATAATAAAACCGCCCACAATTATTGCACAAAACTAAGGCATTTCAAATTTTAAATTTTTAAAAACACAAACCATGTATTAATGGATTTTGGCCATGGGTTGTGTTTTGTTTCCTCTTTTTTAACGTAGAAGGAGAAAATTTCGGCGGGATTTATGATGGGTGGGGAGTTGCTGGGACTGCGATTGTGGCATAAACAAAAGTGCAGCGCCACCCATTGAGTACCCATTTTGGAGCAGAAAAAAAATCAACGGGGTTTCAACTTTTTGAATAGCAAATCCGATTAAATCGTCCAATTACAAGAATGTTCATGTAAACAATATTCAACCAACCAACTACTTTTATTAGATTTTTTAAGCCTTTATTCTGAATGAAAGGATAGAAAAAGAATGGAATCTGTACCATAGATTTATTTGAACGATAATCCTACATAAAAATGGCTTCTTTTCCCCCCTTTTTTGAACGAGATTTACATCGCCCTCGTGGGGAGGAAGAACAGACGAAAAGGAATCATTTGCTGTTGCATGGTTTCTGGGTTGCCTTCCTTCTTTTTTCCGTATAGGGATTAAGCGTTTTCTTTCTATTACTTCTGCAGCAAGGGAAGGAGAGAGTAATGGCGACAATATCCGAGAAATTTTCGGCTGATTTTGCGATGGGTGGGGTTGCCGCGATTGTGGCCAAAACTGCAGCCGCACCCATTGAAAGGGTCAAGCTTTTGTTGCAGAATCAGGGGGAGTTGTTAAAGAGAGGTCATCTCAAGAACCCATATCTGGGCATTCATGATTGTTTCAGAAGAGTTTTGAAAGAAGAAGGGATATTGTCGCTTTGGAGGGGAAATCAGGCCAACGTTATTCGATATTTCCCAACTCAGGTCTTCTACTTTTTGTCCTTAACTTTTGATTTTGCTTGATTAAACTGATTGAATATTCCTGCTCATAAACAATGTGGTATGCGATTATGTGTTGGATTCATTTGAACAACACCCTTTTTTCCCCCTTTAATGGAACTAGCTGTTGAATTAGCATTGGGGTGAAATCATGAATTTGGGATCACTTATTCATTCTAATGGATGACAGTTCAGAGATATTCTTGATTCTTATGAGCTGATTGAGAATTATTTGACTCTACGTTAGAACTCTCAGTTTATTTGTTTTTGGAGTAACCCAAGCTTTAAATTTATGTTACAATCTCCAAATGTTTTTAGAGAAGAGAATTTGAATCCATAGGCTTTCAACTTTGCGTTCAAAGGTTACTTCAAAACCAAATTTGGGCGCTCAAAAGAGAAGGATGGATACATGAAGTGGTTTGCTGGAAATGTTGCTTCAGGAAGTGCTGCAGGAGCATCTACATCTTTGTTTCTGTATCATTTGGATTATGCACGTACTCGACTAGGCACAGATGCAAAGGACTGTGGCAGTAAGAGGGTGCCCCAGTTTAAAGGGCTGCTCGATGTCTACACAAAAACCTTGTCTACTGATGGGATTGTTGGTCTATACCGAGGATTTAGCGTTTCGATTGTGGGGATTACGCTGTACAGAGGCATGTATTTTGGGATTTACGACACCTTGAAGCCTCTGGTTTTGGTTGGAAATTTTGAGGTAAATATCTATCAATTTTGGTATATCTTCGTCTAGGTACACATTCAACTTGTATCATAAAACCTTTTACTAGAAGATTGAGGCTCCATGCTTAACATACAACATAACGTTTGGCACCATCTATGAGAAAGGCAACAACTGAAATATTTGTTTATTACTTTCAATGATATCTCAAACCAATTTCTTTGATTATATTTAATGATTGGTAGTATACAAATGATAGTCTTGGGACCTGCTTCTTGGAGAAATACAACATGTTCTTGCCATAAGCATGGATATTCCTTCAAAGTCCTTGAAACTTTGTGATTTATTGTTTTATGAAGGGTAACTTTGTTGCTAGTTTCTTATTGGGGTGGAGCATCACAACCTGTTCTGGGTTATTAGCATATCCTTTCGACACACTGCGACGAAGAATGATGCTTACCTCCGGACAAACCTTGAAGTACCGTAGCGCTCTTCATGCATTCTCAGAGATCATTCGCCTCGAGGGTTTTCCTTCTCTTTTTCGAGGAGTCAGTGCCAATATGCTTGCTGGTATTGCAGGGGCTGGTGTTCTTGCTGGTTATGATCAACTGCACGAAGTTGCGTGTAGACACGGTTACTCCTTTGGGGAACCTCAAATAGCCTCAAAATGATGGAAAATGGTACACACAACTTTTATTTGTTGGTTGCTATATAATTGCAAATGGAAGTATTTTACAGTTCGTGTTTCAGTTTTTATTCTTCTTTTTTATGGTTGAAGCGTAATGAATGATTCTGTATTGGTCGAACAATAAAGGTAGAAGCGCCACAAATTAAGTTAAGAGTGATGTAAACAGAGATTTAGTTCAACTCCTTACCTAAGATCTAATATCATACGATTTACCTTGAATATTTGGTGAGAAAATCCCAAGTTGACCTGTAAATGCAATGAGGACTAAACATTGTATTCCAATTGTAAGACACCAAAAGGTAAGAGATTATGTTTACACGAAAAGAAAAGGAGTTGTTTGGTTGTGATCAAATATCCTCCAATCTTTTTTATGATGCAACATGAGTTCTGAATGCAATACCCCACCCACGCTCCACCTAAGGAGTTGTTGACTAACATTTCTCTGTACTCGCACAGGTTCTCACCTCCAAACTTCACAACGAGATGGTGTGATGGTGTTTCCATTAGGGTATTCTCGAGAGGGTTCAGGTTGTGAGGTCTTAGAGTTTCCATTAGGGTCTTCTCGAGAGGGTTCAGGTTGTGAGGTCTTAGAGTTTCCAGTAGGGTCTTCTCAAGAGGGTTCAGGTTGTGAGGTCTTAGAGACATGAGTACATGTTTTTTTTCTTCCTTATTTACACTTGGAACAATCTTTAGTAGATTTGGTATGATACAGAAAACAACTTTTATGAACGAGTTAATGACTCTCGTCACAAAAAGGACAAAAGGTGTCAATGCTAACACCTACGGAAATTGACTCGAAAATGACCCGAAAACGAGAAAACAACTTTTTTGAACGACCCTATGACCCGTAGTAGGAAAAAAGTGCTAATGGTACACCTATGGAAAATGACTCTAAAATGACCCAAAAATGAAAGTAGTCAAGGTTTCTTTTCTTACTAAACATGTGTCAAATTCATCAAATTTGATCGTTCCTCCCAATAAAGCAACTTAGTTTGTTCACAAAAAGATTGAAGTGTCTCCGTTAAGGTTTTCTTCAGAGTGTGAGGTCTTATAGACATGACTACATGTCTTTTTATTCTTATTTTACTCTAAGTACAATGTTTAGTGAATTTATTAATAGACTAATACGAGAAAAAACTTTTCTGAAGGATCCTATGACCCTTGTTTCAAATAGGAAAAAAAGTATTAATAGTATGAAAAATGATTCGAAAATGGCCCGTAAACGAAAGCATGGAAGGTTGTTTATTTACTAAACATATGGAGGAGAAATGCAATAAGGCTGTTTTTGTTTATTATAAAAAAAGTGGCAGAGTTACAGATGTATATACAGTCATAATGTCTCATTTTGGAGCCAAAAAGCCTGCATGCTTCTTTCCCATTATACTCTTTTCTTAATTATGGCTTACTAAAACCTACAACTTTCAAAAGGATCCAATCCAAAGGCTTCATACACCTGAACAATTAGGTTCTACTGCTACCATATCATATCTTACATACAGGGCTTTACAATTATACATACGTCTTTTATCATATATCATATATGTGTGTATCATGTTAGTCACCAAGGTGGTGCCCGAGCATCCACGGCGGCAGGAGGGCTGCCGATCTATCGTAGTTGGCAGCCACGTCTTTGTCTCTCGTGGTCATGGCAAGAGATGGGAATGGCTGAGGTAGGAGAAGCGGGGAAACGCCATGGCTATACTCCTGCTGCTGCTCCGATGGTGGATTTTGAGCTTGTGCTTTTTCCTTCTCTTTTATCTATTTATATATATTTTTTGAAACCAAATGATTAGAGAAGTAGATCATTGTGTGGTCTAATTCTACAGTTGTATGCATATACGAAGGTAAAAAAAAAACATTACCTTCTTGGCTAACATGTTGTTTTGCTCCTGTAGGGCCTTGTCCTGATCAAACAACGCAAATTAATTTAACCCATACAAATCTTCTTCACTTACTCTCTCATGTTGGCTTCATCATTTTAACTAAAAATTTATGCACATTCAAGCTTGAAGCTTGAAGTGATATATAGGACACAAAACTGAGAAAAACTCAAACTTGTTCCTTGTTGTTGATCCAAATTCATGTTGGTTTGAATTCATGGTGCCAAGTAGGACTAAAATTCTACAACTTTCATCACAAATTGGCTCCATACTCATTAGGCTCGTAAAAAAAAAAAAGAAAAAAGAAAAAAATGTAAATGTACTTATAAGAAATGAGTTCAATCTCTATGGAGAGACCCTTCTAGTTTGGGTAGAGCATTTGTATTCGATACAACATATCGAATATCTTTGACACGTATTGGACACATATCAAACATTTATTAGTATAATAGGCGTTTTGACATTTATTAAACACACATTAATGAATGTCTTAATAAACCTGTTTTTTTTTTTTTTTTTTAATTAGTGATTGGCCCAAAAATTGGGAAAATAAAAAAAAAAAATAGAAAAACAGCTGAGAAGAAAGCAAGTATAAGATTACCTTTTTCTGAAGCTCTGAAATGGATTCATGCATGAGTTGGTTCTGTAGGAGAGAAGGTTTTGGAATGCAGTCAGCAAAACCTATTCCAATAATGTTGGACAAAATAATGGAATTCAAAATATAGCAATTAAAATACTTGAAAATACCTTCCTAGCTCTTATTTGTTTGAGTGCAGAATCAAGTTGTTGTTCAATATTTTGAAGCTCTTTTAGAGCCAAGGAGTCAAGATCTTCCCCCATGAAATGCCTGCAAATTCAACCAAGTTCTGGATTAAGCCTTGGCTACTTCCAATTACAACAAAAAAAACAATCATCCAAAAGAGGAGAAAGAGATTTAGAACCTGTGGTTTTTCTGTAGAACCTCTACCCTGGCTTTGAGCTTTGCATGTTCAAGACTCCAATTTCCCTATAAACAAAGCGAAATTTCATAATTGATTGAAATTTTAGAATGAAATTGCGTAATGGGATCATGGGTGTTGTTCGTACATTTGATTGGTTATCATTTGCAATAAGTCTCCTTTCTGCATAGGAGTACCTTTCATAGCGTTCCAGGATTTTCTCCATGCTGCCCATAATGTTACATTCATTAACACTAACATTTAGAATCTTAAAAAGTTAGTTGTGTTCATGATTGGAAATCATTAAAAAGCAAAACATTCTGCTGTAGAACCCATAAGTGATGCCGTTGCTACATTGGCATGCGTCATTATTCACAGCATATTACATTAAACCCACACTTCAATCACTAAAAAAATATATATATATATATATATATATATATATATATATATATAAGACCCACACAATACAATAGTATATATTAAAGTTTGGTGATAGTTGTTCAGGTTCATCCAATGATACAACAAGTGCATCAAGAGGGACAGGGACCTAAGTTGTACAGAAAAACACATCCAAACAACGATTGAAAAACGAAGTTTAAGACTCTTGTAAGCAGAGAAGCAACATGGGTATTCAAAGTTGAAGGCAGAAATAAGCATAGAAGTAGAACAAGTGAGGGGAAGCTGAAAGAAGGACAAGGGAAAATACCATGAATCAGTGGAGTATTCAAAGAGCTTGCCCTTGGTGGAGAAGACAATAAGAGCAACTTCGGCATCACAAAGAACTGAAATCTCATGGGCTTTCTTCAGCAAACCGGACCTTCTTTTAGAGAAAGTAACTTGGCGATTGATCTTGTTCTCAATCCTCTTCAACTGCACTCGCCCTCGTCCCATTTCCACCAACAAAACCAAGATCACTTCATTCCCTTACTTCAAAAATGGAATCAACACATCAAAAATAACAACGCAAACCACATGAAACCAACCTCAATAATGTTGGACTTTGTTTGTGGAGAAAAAGGAAAGGGAGAATAAAAATAGGCTCGGATTTTTTAGATGGGTGGGTTTGCAAAACCAGAGTGGTTTCGTCTAAAACGTTGTCGAGCTCTCATTGGCTAGTGCCCTTCCGGTGACGTATCGTTTTGGTCGTCACCATCCGGGATTTTCAGCCACACCCTTCTCTTTTTCTTTTTCGCATATATTAATTATTTTTTTATTTTTATTATTATTATTTTTTTTTTTGTTATTATTTGCCTGGTTGGGCCACAGTAAAGTTAAATTAGCGTTAGTTTTTGGTAAATTTATGAATCAATCAACTCTCTTCTGCTAACCCTAACCCTAATTCTTGAATCCATACTCGTCCAACATATATATGGACGAACAACGTGTGTTCTTATTTTGATATATATAATATCTTCATATATTTATGAGCTAAAAATGAAAATGTTTGCCGACAAAAGAAAAAAGAAAAGGGGTATGGTTCCATTATTTGACATAAAGCTTACACTACCATCTATACTCTAATTCTTTCCCCACTTATCTTATACCTTTCTTATTCTCTCGGATTCAAACATTTCTATTTTATTTAAATAAATAAATAAATAAATACATCAATTAATTAAATAAGCCAATGCTTTTTGGTAAGAATAATAAAAGGAAAAAAATGGTCCTAGGCTTTATCTCATTCTCAGCTCACATGCGAACCATATGCCCATATTCATTAATCTTGGGCCTCAAGTTTGACCAAATGTTAGAATATGGGCTGACCTGAACTCTTATTCCTTTCACGACTATTTTCTTTTTCTTTTTTATTTTAGATAAATAGTTTTTATGAGTGGTTTAATATTAAATTGTTAGTATCATTATAACAAATTTGAGATCAATCCATCTAAAAAATAGATTGGAATATCAAAATTTGAGTGACTACAAGATACCACGACATAAACAGAACACATTGTGTGGTTTTACATGCTTTCTTAGTCCCGATTCCTCACGATACTTTGATAATCGTGAGGAAGAATGCAAGAGAAAAACCATTTTTTTGTAATGGAAAAACAATATAATGAAGCATACGTACCAATATAATCAACCATATGTATGATATTGACAAGTCATAAGCTTGTTTGGAATATGTTTGGAATTGGAGAGTCATAATTACAAGTTGCATAGATCAATACAATACTGGAGACAGGTAGGAGAAGTGTCTAAGCATGCCCCAAATTCATATACATTACTGGGAATAAGCTTCTGAGTTTAGTCTTAGAGCATCCATCCAAGCTGAAATCCATTGCCATTTTGGGGTGGAGCTCCAGCATTACTATTGTTATTATTAGTATTATTATTACTCAATCCAACTGAGCCAACAGAATTGTACCTGAAACCCAGAAGAGAAAATGGAAGT